TTCGCTTACAGAAGTCAATAAATAAACGAGTAAATATTGGATTTAAAATTTTTTTGGGTGGGGCAATTGCCACCAATTGCCTCGTGGCGGCCCGCCACTGGGTACACCATTGGAAAGAACATTCAAAACTGAACGAAATGATCTATTTGAAGTTCGACTATTACTAATTTCGGATAGCCACCTTATTGAAATAAAGTTTTGAGAAATACAACTCGCTTGTCTCTTTTTCATGCTTTTGATGGGAGAAAAATGCTGACTATTCTCACTAAAACCGAGTTTTAGAGGTGAAAATTAACTCTAAAAAAAAAACTTTTTTTATAAACTGATAGAGCGTAAAATGCTCTATCCATTGATATAATTTTGTTTTATCTTAGCATAAGTCTCTTGGTTAGGAAATGCGAAATACTGAAAGATGCCGAAATCTGCTTTTGCATAGAACGAAATTATTTTCATTATAAAAAATCTATATAAAGAGATAGAATGTCGTTCTTTAATAGGTAATGTAGCTAAGCTCTCATACTATCTGTATAACCATTTGAATCAAACCTATACCTAATAATATAAAAAGAAACTACGGAAAAAAAAATTGAGAAAAAATACTGAAAAACCAATTTCACTTAAATTTTTGTCCGGGACTGTACACTCACACTCACACCCACATCCTATTTTGCTGTTAGATCAGGAAAAAATGAGATAACACTCGTAAGCCTCCAGATGAGAGATTATTGGAATAAAACGTGATGGTGCATGTAGCAGCAAATGAAACCAAAACATTGCATTTGATATCATTAGATTCTTTTATTTATTATTATTCTTGATCGATTACAATTCTTTAATAAGAATCTTGCTACTTTTCAGAATAAAAAGTGGCAAGCAAATATAGTGCTCTACTAATGTTTTATAGATTTTCGTTCTTTGTAGATAGCTAAAAGGAGATTCTTCAATTCCGTTCTAAAATTCTCTTGTACATCTATAGCATAATCTTGAGCTGTTGAATATTGACCAATAGGCATTCGAATCGTTTTACCATTGACATTACTGCTAATAGCCAATGTCATCACAGGTCCTTCAATACAACTCGCCAGACACGTGATGATTACCGAATAGGTGATGGTCGTTCTTCCACGAAATGAATAATAAGTGAGTACATCATCATTGCGACATTCATTGATCGAACTGTGTGGACTATAAATCCATGTACAATTTCCATCGGACCATTCATATTGGTTTTGTCCATCTTGTGAGAAATACTTCTTTGCCTGACAAAATGCTTTTGATGCTTTTTCAAAGGCATCTCGTTGAGCATCATCGATTGTGATAGGTGGAGTTGGTAATGAATTGGAGAACGATGCCAGTTTTTGGAAAATGGCACTTATTGTAGTCAATTCTGGAATGTCCGGTATCAATAATTGATGAATCGACTCTAATCGACATCCGAGATCGTTGATTATCCATGGATGATGGTTTGGATAGCCAAAAGCACATTCAAATGTGTCCATCAGATACATTTTCAGCTGTTTTTCCAAACTTGTAGAGTTGGCAGCACTTTTAATCATGTCATGGAGTTTTTCGCGAGCTTGTTGATGAGGAAGTTCATCATTCTTATGTGAAGGATCCGTCTGTGTCAGTAACCAGAAAAGAATCGCACAAACTCCAGATGCATCAATCGTCGAACTCAATCCTTTGACATTCGTTTGCGGTGCACGATACCATTTCTGTGTTGATGATGCAATTTCTGCATCTCTTCCGGTCGATATGACAACAGCTTGACTGAAATTCAGCACGGTCAATTGAGCTTGATTGATTAATCTACTTTTCGAATCGAATTCAATCATAATATTTTCAGGCGATAAATTCTGATGGAAAATGCCTCTGCTATGCACCTGTTGAATGATTCTTACTAGATTTAGGGTCAATTGAATGGCTTCTTGAACTTCAAGGACACCTTGACATTTTCGTTCGATGAATTCTTTTAATGAATATCCAGGAGCACGTTTCATAATCATCGATAGATTGACTTTGTCAACGCGTTGTTGAGTAAGATTATTTGATGCATTCTCTGGTTCAATCAATTGACTGACACCTTTTACATCTGTAACAGAGATGATTAATATAGATGTAGATCTTCAATATTTTCCTTGATATTCACCTTACCTTTTAGAACTTTCATTGCAGTTACTTCTCGATTCAAGTTCGTCGAGGATTGATTTGGATAGATCTTGATTACGGCTAGACGTTTTCGATCTACTTTGCCACGTATTAATAATACTTTTCCATCGCTATTCGATGCTTTAGTTGTTATTTCCCATTCTACCGATACATCGCTTGGTAACTGATCTATAACAGAAGATAATATTCTAGAAGCTCATTTCATCCGTCGTGCAGAGGAACTTACATTTCGTTTCGACCAATGTTGAGATACTTTCTGATGAACTTGCATGATGCAAGTTAGTCTTTGATGGAGTTCGAGTAATATCATTAAAAGCTTTACGACAAATGCGACGGTCTCTATCCACTTCTCGGTTGTCTAATGTTATTGACAAAGTATTGTCAGTGTCTCCAGGATCAGATGTTTCTTGACTGCTTTGGACACTGCAAGCATCTCGTGGACGACTGCGCCAACGGCAATGTTTCAATTCTTCACCAGTCGATGCTGCTCGTGATCGAGAACGATGACGATGAGCGAACGGGATTGGATTGAGTTCCAGTTGACATTTGATTAGTTGACCATCGATGTTCATATTATGCCATTTGGTCATCAACTGTTTAGCATATTTCATAGTTTTGATTTTGACCACATAACCAATACGATCATGTTGTCGATCGACATAATAGTTGTGTGAACCGAATCGTTGAGTAAGATTTTGTGGTGTGACTTCCGTTTGAAAACCAGACATTCGGATTCGATAGTCAGTACTCGTTGCTAGAATAAATAACGAAAGGAAGAATAGATTTTTCCCTATTATTGCTGCTAAATCGAAATGCAGTCAGTGTGAAGTATTCTATGGACAACAAGTATACAGTATTTCATCTTTATCCGTTTTCAAGATCCTAATGCTGTATTTTATGAACTGAAAATCTGACTTACTATTCGGAGAATCGTGTTCTGTCTTCATTCCGATTGGATGACCACAAGGACAAGTCGACGAACAAGTACCGTTTGCCGTACAAGGTATATGTTCCCAATGACATTCGTCGCTACTTTTTTCACACCGACCAACTTGAAATTTCTTACAGAATTCTATATCATCTTCTTCTTTCTCACATTGAATGACTGATCCTCGGATGCTCCGTCCGTTCATATTTTGAACAAAACTGTTCACTTCTCTTTCATCATTGGCATTTTTCAGCCAACATTCTGTTGACAATGCTCGATCATTGGTGGACGGATTCATAACAATATCATAAATATCCCAATCTAATTCTTGTGATAATGTCTCAGCATCTATATTCGCCGATAAATTTGTAATATGAATCCGATATTTTTTTCCAGGTAGACTAAGACATGATATTTGTTCGTCTGAATAGAAAATAGAGAAGACTTGTATTCAAGATAAAAGGCATAGACTTACTCATGGTCACTTGTTTCAAATTGGCTTTCTTCGGTCCTACTTCAATGTTATTCTTAGCAATCTTTGGTGTCGATTCTGATGTAGCTGAACTTCCATGAAAGACATTTCGAGTATCTTTCTTAACATTGACATCGATTTCTCCAATACGGTGCGGAGAATGCAAAAGAATTTTGTCGACTGAATCATAACTGAATCGAAACAAATATGATTTCGACAAATTCATTGTATTCTAGTACTTACTAATCAAAATGAATGATCCATGTATTATCTTCATTTTTCATATGATTAATATTACATATTGTACCATAGTGAGAAAGGTAATTGTTAATATCCGATTCGACCAATAGTTGACTGTTTGGACTGGAAACAATCAAACGTTCAATTGCTTTATTACCTTTCAGTGGTCCTTGATTTGGGACCGATCGATGAATAAAAACTTCTTTGCCATCTATTTGATGGTATCGTTGTGACATCACAGCATCAACACTTTCTTCGCTGTAAAACACGACGATGCCATGCATTTTATTTTTACCTTAAAAAAATAAATACAAAATATTCTTTTGTCGACACTTCTTTAAGTCACTGACGAAATACTGTATCTAAGTCTTTTTTTTCTTATTAATTAGAAATGACGTAGCAATCTTACCTGATTCATCAATTGGAACATTACACCACTCAATTGGATACTTCGAGAAATAATCTTGTAATGACCGTGTTGTTGTGTTAGGATGTAGTTTTTGAATAAATATTTTTCGTCTGTGTTCGTCAAGATCCGCTTCTGACATATTCTACATGAATGAAGATCAGAATATCAAGTGAATGTGAAATTTCTTTCTTCATAGTCATCTCTAAGTTGTATTACTTACATTTGTTGCCATTTTATAGAGATTATCACAATTAGTAAAATTAGTTAAATCTTTTATATCTAGAATGCAAAACAGAAAAATTTTCCTGATTCAATGTTGAAGAACACAGTGGATGAAATACGTAGGCCCTGTAGCGAGATGTTACCATCAAAGGAGATGAAAAGTGAGTTTTTTCCCACAAACCGTTGTGTAACTTTTTTTTGCTTTTCGGAAGGAAAGCTCTTACAGGATGATTGTTTCATGAACAATGAATCTTTGATTTCAAACATTGCCCATATATAGAATCATAAGATGAAAAAAATACCCAGAGAAACTAAAAAAACAAATATGAAGAAAAGAAACTCTTGGAAATTTCAGCATAAACAAAATGATTGAGCAATATATAAATCGAAGAAAAAAGAAATCTCCAGATATTGCGTAGATCTGAATGCAATAGAAGAACGAAAGCAAGAACAGAGAATCTTGCACAATACCACATCACACTACAATCTGAGTAACACAGTTGTTTTGCCTCGAACAAAGGAAAGAAAGGGTGTGTGGGTGTGGCGTGTGGGTGTGGGTGGGTGTGGGTGTGGGTGTGAGTGTGGGTCTAGAGAAGATAAACATCTACACCCACACTCACACTCACACCCACACTCACACTCACACCCACACTCACACTCACACCCACACTCACACTCACACCCACACTCACACTCACACTCAGCCACACTCACATTCACTCACACCAACTGTCTACGCAAATAAGTTTGAAAAAGGTGGAAATATTTCGAAAGATTAGCATTTTTTATTATTCATTCTTTGAATATAAACGATACAAATCTAGTGATAATTTTCGAAGATCTATAGATATGTGTAACTCCATGAGAAGAATATTTTGATTAGTAAAATTAATAAAAAATTATGTTTATTTCTCGCAAAATTCGAGTTTTAAGTATTTCAGCTAAGTTAGCCAAACTATTCCGAATATTTCTATTGATTACCAAGACATCCCATGTGGGGTAATTTGGCATAAAATATATTTTAGTCGTCTTTTTTTAATTGATGTGGTTCACGTTGAGTAAGAAACCTAAAATTAAAATTAGTATACACTTCTAGAGAAATCTTTTCGCTATTCAGCAATTTTTTATCGAAAAAAGATTTACAATAGGTTTCAAAAATAGTTGATATTGTCAAATTTCCCCACATACTTACATTTATTACCAAATAGAGTCGTCGGGGGTAATTTGGCAATGTCTCTAGTAGAGCTGATTAAAACCGCTAAAGAAAACTTATGGAAAGAGATTTTCAGAAACTAAACACACAATTGAATAAAGAAATGTTTTTTTCTATATTTTTCCTTCCAGAAGTTTTTTTTTCTATCGTTTAAAATAAAAATGTTATGAGCCAAATACTAAAAAGCTTCAATTTCGTGTGTTGTTTTACCCCTCGTTAATCTATTACAGAATAGAAAAGAAGTATGACACATTGAAGATTAACCCGACGTTGTGAAATCAAATTGCATAATCCAAAACAGAAAGAAAGAAATTTTGCTTTTCTTTTTCCTTTTCTGTTCGATGTTGCAATAGGAATGAAAATTTATTGTTGGAAAAAACATTGGAACATATGGTGATTAAATTTCTTTTATATTTATTTTGTGTGTCATTGAAAATTGATCTATATTCACTTTTTGTTGTGAAAAAATTAATAGGATTTCACCCACTTCTAGCATTATACAGTTGGAATATTTATGATTCTTCTTGTATCTTAGGAAAAAACCTTGAACAGTTCTTGGAAGGAAATTATTTATTTTTATCAATTCTTATGCAATACCTTTATTATGCTAATACTGGAAAAATCCAATCCCTTCTTTCAATTGAAAGATTATCTATATATAGCAAGCATACAAATCTCAACAATCCGCATTAATCCTTTATTTTTAGACATAACAGCTTCATCTAACTTCCAGTAAGAAAATGTAACCTTAACGCTTCTTTTGTGTTGAATGTGAATTGATTGAATTGTGTAACTAAAACATTTAGGAATGAAATGAAGCATATATCTTTGAGATATTTCAGATTCTTTCTCAGTAAACATTAGTTTTGAACATTTAATTAGAATGTTTACCCAACATATCAGAAGTTGACTTTTTTTTGTATGAGGAATCTCCGATTTCCAAAGAATGTTTTTGTATCAAGTATCAAAGAAATTTTGAATCGAAGTTTATTTTGAAAAATTTATACAGATAGAAAAATTCGATTCTTGAACTTTTCATTTTACTTTACTGAGAAATAGTTCGACTATCCATAGCATGATAAAGGACTAATTTTTTTAAATTTCTCTACTATAGACCGAATTCTCTTTCATTCATTGAATATCAAACACAAAACCAATAGTAAGGTATGAACCAGTATGATTTTAATTTGTTTTTATTTCTTTAAAATATAGATATGTCGTTTCAAAACTATTTGCATTCGAAAATTCAAGCACTAACTGCTCTTAGAAAACATTGTTGGAAACAATGCAAAAAATGGTTGACAAAATCTAGACATTCATCCCAACGGAACACATCTTTTTCTACAGCTTCTAGAATTGTAAACCCGGTTTTTCGCACTGTTAGCTTAGTGGATGATGATATTAGTCTACAAAACGATGATGCTATCGAAAATTCAAATACATCGTTGGAAACCTATCTAGAACAAGCAAGGTCATCGCTTCATGAAGCCAAGCGCAAGGTGACTGAATTCGAAGAAGAAAAAGTACAACGTGAAAAACGGCTAGCACGAACTCGAAACTCGCTCAGAGACTCTTCTTTGACAAAGTCAAAACGAAATAAGTTGCGACAACGAGCAAGACGTCAGCAATCACTAGTTGAACAATCGAATAAACATATTAGAGAGGGAAAAGCAGCGGTGCGACACGAAATGGAACACTTCTCCGATGCTAGAGCTATTGCATCTGAACAAATCTAAAAACTTGAACAAGAATTTTACTAATCTGTAAAAATATTGTTGATAAATTGAATAAAAAATTCTATAATCGAATTCATAATCTTAGAATAGAGTTCAATCAGAGGAGACTAATTAGGTTCGAAGACTGAACAATTGTTTGTATATTGGTATGCAGGTGGATCTGAAGTAGATGCCATTATTATGAGTTTTAGTGATGTGGGTGTGGAAGTAAGGGATCTTTCTTCGTCTCTAGAGAGTTAGAACCACACACCCACCCTATGTAATAAAAAAAGTTATGGATGTAGGTGTGGGTGTGGGGTGTGGATGTGGGATGTGGGTCTGGGTGTGGGTGTGGATATTTGATTATATAACAACACCCACACCGACACCCACCCACCCACACCCACACCTACACCGACACCCACCCACCCACATCCACACCCACACCCATCACACCCACACCCTCACCCCACACCCACCCACATCCACACCCACACCCATCACACCCACACCCACACCCACCCACACCCACACCCACACCACACCCACACACCCACACCCACCCACACCCACACCCACACCCACCCACACCCAC